ATTAGTGTCACTGTAAATAATGGTCATATACTAGAAAAGAAACTACTTAGAGTATGTCCACCAAGTAATATTAATTCAACTATTGTTTGCACACTGGATACAAACAAAATAAACAATACAAATACGTATCAGAATATCGAAGGATCAATTGTTCATTGTCCATGTTATGGTTTGAATTGTATTACTAAATTTAGTAAAGAAGATACAATTATTATTGCATCAGAATATCAAGGTATTATTGAGTTGATTGATTCTACTACACAAATCATTGAACAACAATACAAATCACTAACCACATTACGAATAAAAGGAAATAAAAACATTGTTACCATTATCACAAACTCAAAAACATCAAATCAATTTATACTAAGTGTTGAAACTGGAAGTAAGATATTACTCACTGGAAATAAAATAGGATTTTATCAAAACAATACAAATAAACTTTCCACGAGAATAGGTTCAGAATATCCATGTCAGTCATTATTATTTAATGGTGAAACAAGTAAATGTAGTATATGTAAAAACACAGTGGTCAATGGATATTGTCCATATGATAATGAGATACCAAAACATTGTTTAAAATACCCATCATTAAGTGAGTGTATTCAATGTGAGGAGGACTATTATTTAGAAGATAAGATATGTACCACATGTCCATCAAATTGTTTAAAGTGTTTAAATGGAGTATGTATTCAATGTAAAGATAATCATTATTTGGATAATGGAAATTGTTTGAATAAAGTAGATCCAAGTATTAAATCAATAATAAATAATGTAGTTATAAAATGTCATGATTCTTTTTATTCTATTGGAAATACGTGTTCTTCTTGTTCAACAAACTGTCAGTATTGTTCTATAAAAGATAGAAATTATGAAGAGAGTGTGTGTTCCATTTGTTCAAATTCAACTGTTCTTACTTCATCTAAAGAATGTTCAACAATTCCAAACTCAGAAATAACAAGTAACATCAATGTAATAGAATGTGAAAATAATTATAGAGTAACAGATGGACAATGTGAGTCATGTAATCAATTTGGTTCATTATGTCAGAAGTGTACTCCTAATCAATGTACTCTTTGTTTAGATGGGATTATTAATGAAAATGGTATTTGTGTAGATCCAACAACAACAGGATGTTTGGTAAATGAAGATATAAAAACAAGTTATTGTATGAGATGTAAAGATAAAGATAAATATTATGATGGAACAAGTTGTGTGAATACAAACAATTGTTTAACAATGAGAAATAAAGCACTGTGTTATGAATGTCAACCGGGATATATTTATGACACATTAACATCTCAGTGTGTTGATAAAACAAAAATACAAACAAATTTAATAGAAAAATGTAGTATTTGGAGAGGAGAACAAAAAGATTTATGTTTAAGATGTAAAGATAATTATTATTATGATGAATTATCACAGTCATGTATTGTTTGTAATTCGGCTTGTTTAACCTGTTCAAATAAAGACACTTGTTTCACATGTACAGAAGGATATTCGTTAATAAATACTAGTTGTATTTTATCCTCATCAATTATTCAAAATTGTAGATTACTTATTGTTGGAGGAGATAAGTGTGCTGTTTGTAATTCTCATTATTACAGAACGAATAATGGACTATGTCAAAAATGTTTAGAACATTGTAATTTATGTTATGAAAGTGATAAATGTAATTCTTGTGATGGTAATTATTTCTTATTAGAAAATACAACAGGATGTATATCATTTGATGAACTAACACATTGTAAAATAAAGACGAGTAGAGGGTGTGAGTCATGTGAAGAAGGGTATTATGTTTCAAACCAATACTGTTCATCATGTAATTCAACAACAGAATATTGTCAATACTGTTCAAAAAATGGGGTATGTAATTCATGTACAAATGAATACGTGTTAATTGATGATAAATGTATTAACAAAGCAATGGTTGATCATTGTATAGAGGTATCTAATTCTCAATGTACAAAATGTTCATTTTGGCATCGACCAGATATTAATAAAACAGCATGTAATTCACATATAGAAGTCTGGTTAATAATATTTTGTGTTATAATCCTACTTATAATCATTATTGTAATTATAGTATTATTGATTTACATTATTAAGAGAGTGTTGGGTTATAGAAAAGAAGAAGAATTAAGAAAGAAATATTGTATTTTTGATATGTCAAGATCTAATATTGAATTTCATTCAACAGATAATCCAGATGTCGTAATTAACAAAGAAGTAATTCACTTTACGATAGACAACCAAAATAACAATGATGAAAAAGTTCAAATTCCTGTAAATCAAGAAACAAGAGAATTGATATGTATTGGAAATAAAGGAAAAAACACAATTAAAGTTCAATTTAGTGTAAAAGAAGGATGTGATAAATATGAAATAAGAACAAATCCACAATTAATGACTATTCCAAAAGGAAAGGCACTTGAATTTGAAGTGTTTATTAAACCATTATGCAGTTGTTTAGTTGAAGATATTATTAAGTTATTTTCATTGGATATGAAGAAAGGAACAACAATTGAATCTAATATCAAAATTAAAGCAGAAACAGAACTATCAACACGACTTGATCCAGATGAATTAAAAGAAGAAAAGAAAATAGGAGAAGGATCATTTGGAATTGTATATATAGGAGAATTTAGAGGAAATCAAGTAGCAATTAAGAAAATGAAACAAATTGATAAAGATGAAGATAAAATGAAAGAATTTGAGAAAGAAGTAATGATGTTAGATAAATTTCGAAGTGAATATATTATTCATTTTTATGGAGCAGTATTTATTCCTAATAAAATATGTATGATAACAGAATATGCAAAATATGGATCAATACAAGATTTAATTAATAAAAGAACAAACACAGAAATACCAAATAAAATAAGAATTAAATTCATGATAGATGGAGCAAAAGGAATTTCATATCTTCATTCAAATGGAATAATACATCGAGATATTAAACCAGATAATTTTCTTGTTATAACACTTGATGATAATATTGGAGTTAATTGTAAATTAACAGATTTTGGAAGTTCAAGAAACATTAATATGATGATGACAAATATGACATTCACAAAAGGGATAGGATCACCTATTTACATGGCACCAGAAGTATTGAAACGAGAACATTATAAAATGGAATCAGATATATATTCATATTCAATAACAATGTTACAAATCATTACATGGAAAGAACCATTTCCTAAAACAGAATTTAAATTTCCATGGAAAATAGCCGAATTCATATCAACAGGTAAACGACCAACAATAATACAAGAAGTTAAAGAAGATATTAAAGAAATCATTGAAAAAACATGGAAACAAGAACCGAAAGAAAGAATAAGAATAGAAGAAGTAGTAAAAATGTTAGAAAGAATTGGAATGGAATAAATAATGAGACAAAGCATGTTTCTACTGTTATAATCACACTATAAGAAATAGTGTTATTTAATTCTAGTCAATTAACATTACAAATTCTTTGTCATATAACATTTGATTAAGTCTTTTGAATTAACTAGATACTATGTCATAAACAAATTCTAATTGTTTTATTTCTGATAATTTACATTATTACCTTTTGTCAGTATTTTCATTTCATAACATTTTCATATAATTGAGCGATAAATATTGTTTGGTGCTTTTATCTCAAGATTCTATTAACTTGTCTTTTGATTTGTCTTTGAGGGATTTGCAAGTACTCTATCCTTAAAATATTTAATACAAAATCAATGTTTGTTGTTTGAAGAAAGTATTTTTTAGTATCTATTTCTATCCGTTCAATTGTATATAACCAGAAATTGATTCTACAAATAATCAACAAATAACCTAATGATCTTTTACAATTAGTTCCAATAATTTTATAATGAAACTTTGATAAAAGGGAACATTCTAATAAATGACCAATAAAGATATATTTTTCAATTAGAATAGTTTCTTGTCATTACTTTTGAATAAACTCACATAACAATCATTCTTTTTAAGTTTAATTTGTGTTTTTTATTATCAGTATATATATTTAACAATAGCCATAGTAATTTTATACATCTTCATCATAGTCACAATTATAATTATTTTACTCTTACCAAAAAAAGAAGACAAATAGTAATACACCTACTTTTAAATATTAGGTCAATTCCCAGTAAACTGTTTTTCATTTTATTGTTATGTGAAACCTATTATTATTTAGCCGTTTGTGCTGACATTTTATTTTAAGAAGAGCATGTCAATAGCATTATAATTATAGGACATCTTCTTTAACCACAATGCCATTAATAGAACTCATTTTTATTAGTGATGACATTTATAAAATCAACTCAAGCTTTTGTTATAAAAAGTCTTCAGATCCTCATAAACAATAACCCTACAAAAAGTGCTACTTTCATAATAAGTCGTAGTAGTTCTTAATAAATAAGAACTTACAACAAGTCTGGAATAGTGAGAATCATCTGTTTTTATCAAAAGTAATTTTATGGTTAATGAAAGCCTGTAATTTAAGTTTAATTTTGTTATATAGCTATTGTATGTTTCTGATATGTAATCTTGAAACAAAAAAATAGTAAAGAACAAAATATTATAAAAAAAATATTATAAATAAATTTATTATTTTAATTGTTTTATAATTATTCATTTATCTTATAATATTTATTTAGTTTTATTTTATATACTTTTAATTTAATTAATTTTTTTAATTCATATTATATTATAAAACATCATTTCTTTTTTATCATTAAGTTGTCTTCTACTCAACTTTCATTAATTTCATTTTAATCAATATTTTTTGTTTTGTTATTGGCCAATTAATATAACAGTTTTTTATTTCGTTTATGATTTATTATTGCTGATTGATTTCTTAATTGGTTTTGACTCCTTTTATTAATATGTATTTATTATTTCATAATTTGAAGTACAAAGCGTTTTTTAATGGTTGTGGTAAAGGAAATTATATACTTTATTCAATTATCTTAATGTTTAGTTGTTTAGTTTTTCTATTAATGATAATATCATAACTGCAAATTATACACTTCGTGATGTTTTCGGTATTGGGTTAGTTTATTTGGTTCGATCAGATGACAACTCAATGCTTTGATGTTAGTATCAGCATTACTAATTAGTTGGTATTCATTAAAAGTCATCCAAATGTATGACTTTTGCTTTTTATCATCAACAGTTCTAAAAGTATCTTCAAGCCAAATTCTAGATGAACAGTTTTGATAAGATTGATTTGTGAGTTGAGATCGTAATGAATAACAATATTTATTATTTATTTGAACAAATGGTTGACCTTGCATATTTGATTCAACAATAAAAATGTCATTTTGATTAATATCATTATTAACAGACATAAGACGAGTTCCATTTCTCCATTGAAGAATATCAAAACGGTCATCAACAACAATTAAGTCATTCATGAGAGAAGAGCTATTTTCAGGTATATTATAATTTACTCCAATAAGGAAAACACCACCATCACCCATTGTTTCATAACCAGTAATCATATAACTTTCTGGAATTGTTGGTTGACGACAGTGAGAATCTATGTTAATATTAAAAGTTCCAGCATTAGAACGAGCACGTTCAGTTCCAGTGATTAATTCGTGAGTTTTAAGTAATACGATGTTTTTAAGACTTAATTCTTTTTGAATACCAATAACAGAAGTGAAACATTCTTTATCACATAGATATTTTCCTCCAATATTATTTTCATTTGCATTACCTACTGTTTTAATAAATGTTTTATTATTTCGAATTGTGTCACTAAGGCCGTCGAATGGATATTTCAATGATGGATAAAACACTGAAAAAACAATTATTGAAGGAATTATCAAAAATAAGAAAATCCCCCATAGACCAAAAAGTACAACTTCATTTTTATCTGTAGATTCTTCATCACTATATCCCTCATCATATTCATAATAGTCACTTGAGTGTTTTCCTATCATAAAACTATTAAATACCATTTTTTGTTTTTTTTACAAAAAAGAAAAAAAATAAAAATAAAAAAGATTATTACTTATTAATAACAGTTTTTAAGATTTTAATCTAATTACGAAAAATTGATGAAACAAAACCAATAAGACATAATCTTAAGATTATCACTTTCTTTAATGATAAAAACCACAAAGGGTCAAGGATATATAAAAAAGTAAAAATAAATAGTTTATCAATACGTTTAATGAATATCACAATTTGTCCACAGCTTTTAGATTCTTTTGGAACAGAATTTAAAATAAATGATTCTAAGATCAACCTTCGTGCTTTTGAGTTATCTCTTCATTTCCCAGAAATTGTTCAACGATATCGTGATATGATGATTAATAATAAATCAAAAAAATGGGAAATAGTTCAAAAGAATGTTTTAGAGTTCAAAGAATTCATTAACACTATTATCAATGAAGCAGTTCAGCCAGAAATGATATATCTTCAAAGCATTGAAGAAAAAGAAATGAAAAATAAAGAAATAAAAAATATTATTAATGAAGTAATTAAAACAGAAGAAGAATATTCTAAAGATATTACACTTTATCTAAAAACATATGCTAAAGTTCTTATCAAATCAAAGTTTGTTGGAGAATTAGTTCGTAATAGTGAAGTAGTGTTATTAAATATTATTGGACTATCTAATAAAATAAGTAAAATTTTACAATCAAAAAATTATTCTGATTTAATACTTTGTTTAGATTCCTTAAGTGTGTATGATAGTTATTTTATATTTTATGAAAGAATTGTTTCGGTTATGCCAAAAATCTTAAAAGAGTTACCACAATTACAAGAAATTAAAGGAAGACCTGAAATGAAGAATTTAGGTGTTCTAGACTTTTTAATTAAACCAATACAAAGAATTACAAAATATCCATTGTTTGTAAAAAATTTAAAGGAGAATGTTGAAGATTTAAAAGATAAAAATTTATTAGAATTTCTTGATAATTATCTTAATGAACAATTAAATAAGAGTAATAGTTCTCAAAAATGTTTTAGTTCAGAAAAAGAGAAAGAAATAATATTACCATTATTGAAATGGAAAGGAAAATGTATTGATTTAAGTACATCTATGTTTATAATAAAATCAAGTATTGTTTCAGTAACACAAATTGAGAAAAATACTATGTTTCTATTAAAAGAAATTAATTATTGTATTCTCTTTGATAGTCATCTTTTATTATCAAGGATAAAAGGGTCTAAAATATATATTGAAAAAGTTATAACTTCCATATTACTTATAGAAGAATTTAATGATCATATTACTCTTCATTCACGAAAAAATGTTCTATCTATTTGTTTTATATCAAAAGCTGATCAGAGACTTTGGATAACTAAACTAAAAGAATTTAAAGAAAACCAAGATAAATTAATAAATTCTTTTCATTCATTAAGTAGTGTATCATCTCTCGGAAATAAGAATTTGTCTCACCCAAGAAGACCAACAGCTGGTTCATTTGATTCTATAAAAATAGAAAATGCTATTACACAACAAAATTTACATCGTACAATGAGTTCCGCATCTAACCCATCTATTTCATTGCTTTGATTTTGAATTATATTTTTAAAAATATTATTTTTTCTTTTAATTTTTCAAAAATTGTTTTGTTGACGCCACATTTTTTGGAGAAATAAATAAAAAGATCCAAAAGAACTATAAAAAAACTACGAAAAGAACGAAGAATAAATTTGGTAAGATTTGATTCAAAAAAGAAGAACTATAAAAGAATAATAAAAATAAATAATAAATGAAAAATATATAAATAAATTATTCCTAAATGCTAAATTTAAATTAATAATATAAAAATATCCGTTAATAAAAAAACTATCAAATTTTAACAATTGCCTGTTAAAGAGTTTTTTCATGAAGTTTTTTAAGAAAAAGAAGATTAAGAAAGATAAACAAGTAAAAGAAAGAAAAAAAAATATTAAGTAATTAAATACAATCTTAAAGCCTTGATGGTAAATTACTTGTTTTATGTTCTGAAGATTTGATCCAGTAATAAAGAGTTGAGGCACATAAATCTTTATATTCTGATGTTTTTTGAAGGAAACGTGTTGCTTTAGATAATCCCATTTCCTTACCAATTTTAACAGCTTTTTCTCTAGATGTTTTGTCCCATCTTTTTCTTTTAGGAGAACTATTTTTTGTATCACCACTAGGAAATGTAGTATTAACAGTTTCTGAAGAAAGGGAAGGTGATCTTAATGTATTATATCCATCAAGTATTTGGTAAAATTCTTTTTTACAAGGAGTAAACACTGAAGCAGTCATAGCAATTATTCAAGAAATGAAAATGACTTAAAAACAAGTTCTGTTTTTATACTTAAAATGGATTAAAAATAAATACAATCTTTGAACAATCACTTTTATTTTTCAAAACGAAAGTCATATTTTTGACTTCTTTTTAAAACCATTTCTTTAAATTTATTTTTTTCAACCCTTTTTATTTCTTTTATTTTCCTTGTTTTTTTTTTTTTCACTTTTCTTTAATGACTTAAAATCCTTTCTTTTTCTCTTTCTTTAGTATTTTATAGTTTTTAATAATCCCCTTCTTTTAATAATCGGAGATTTATATAAGCCTTCGATTCTTTTCAGTGATATCTTTATAAAGTTGTTTTTTTTCAAATTGAGATATTACTTCATATGAGAAGTTTACTATTAAAAAATAACATAAACAAATCATAATGTTAAATTCTGAAAAAGGAAGTATTTATTTGATTATGCAATAAAAATTATCTTTATGGTTTTCAATTGAAAAAATTAAATCCTATTTAAAAATAAAACCTTTTTAATATTTATTTAAAAAAAACTATGAATAAATATTTAATAAAGTTTTAATGCATGTTTTTGATTTTGTTGTTTCCATTTTGGTTGTGCTTCAAATTGTTCTCTTGTCATTTTAAAAACTTGTTCAAATTCAGTCTCGCTTAAGTAGTGTTCTAATTGAGACATATCAATACCAGCCGGGAATCTGTGATGGACGAGATCATCATAAGAATATGTTTTAGTTAATTTCAATAATTCTTCTAAACAATTATCCATATTGTCATTAACACTTATAACTTGTTTTTTATTTACTCTCCATCCATGGAAATAATTTGTAAATACAAAAGGTTCTTTACCATCATAAACCAACCAACATTCTCTATTCATTCTTTCATTTTCTTTAGTTCTTTTAATAAATTCATTTGTTGTTTCCATAGCAAATTTTTTATCAATAGCAGATACATCTTTTCCAATCCATAAATAACAAATATCATAACAATCTAATAACATAGCAGCTTTAGGTTCTAAATCTTCTTGGTACCAATCTGTTACTTCTTCAACAGCAAATACTCCACTTTTACTTGACATTTCAAATAATCTATTTTTCCATTCAACACTTTTTGTTTTTAATATTCTTTTTCCTCCAATAGCATTCCAAAACTCTTCTGTTTCTTCTCCTTCATTTATTTCAATAACATCTTTTCTTTGTACATCATTATATTTTTGAAGTAAAAGATGAGTAAATTCTAATTCTTTTTTTCCTGTTAATTTTCCTTTCCAAAGATAAGTGGTATTTTCTGTAGTAATAAGGAAAAT